TCTTTAAGTCTGGCGTGGTGCCTTAAGCATTTGGGAGGTGGAATCTGGATCACGAGTTCAAGGGCATCCTCGGCTACATCTAGAGTTCTAGGCCGGCCTGTGCTGTGTGAGACCCTGCATTGTTATTATTTTAGCGTTTTGAGGGCCTCTCCACATAGAAAGGCCTCAAACTCCCAACCACCTGCCTGCCTTTGTCTTCCAGCTGCCGGCAATAAGGGCATGCACCACCACACCTGGTGGGGCCTTGTTTAATCAGCCCCGGAACAGAGCACTCGGTATGGCTTACCAGGTAAGGGCCCTTGCCCACAAGCCTAATGGCCTGAATTTAATCCCAGATTAAATTCACACAGGGTAGAAGGCAAGAACCAGCTCACACAAGTTATCTTCTGACCTACAAGCACACACATACATATGCTCTCTTTTTTCTCTCTCCTTTCCCCCCTCTGTCTCTCCTCTCTCTGTCTCTCTCTCACACACACACACCAGAGAGATGGTGATGCTAAGAGCACAGGCTACTCTTCCAGAGAATCCAGCACCCACACTGTGACTTTAAATATCTGTAACTCTAGTTCCAGAGAACCTGAAACTCCCCTTCTGGTCTTCTTGGACACTATACTGACACATACCCACATACACATAAACACATAAAAATAGAAATAAATCTTTAAAAAAAATAGGATGCTAATTAGGATGGCTCAGTGGTTAGGAGCACTTGCTGCTCTTGCAGAGAACATGAGTTCAGTTCCCAGCACCCACCCTGGGCAGCCCACAGCCTCCTATATCCAGTCCTAGGGAGCTGGCCCCTTCTTCTGGCTTCCATAGGCTCCGCACACAGCTACTGCACAGACAGGTAGGCATGCAATGTACACACACAAATAAATTCTTGAGACAGGGTTCAGTCATGTAGCCCTGGCTATCCCAGCACTTGCTGTGTAGATCAGGCTGGCCTCAAACTCACAGAGACTCCCTGAGTGCTGGGATTAAAGATGCTAGCACAAGTTCATCACAGGCTTAACTTCTTAAACAAAGCTTTAAACATTGGATTCACTGTGTAGAGACTCTTGTCATGAAGACCTGAGCTTAGTCCCTGGAGCCCACGTAGCGGAAGAAGAGAGCACACTCCCGGGTGTTCCTGACCTGTGCCTGGGCAGACGTGACACATGTGTGTTCTCTTCCAGGCCTCTAAATAAAAATGCAGCCCTCCCTTTTCAGATAAGCTTTCTCTGCGTAACACCCTCGATGTCCTGGAACCCACTCTGTAGGCTAGGCTGGCCTTGTTCTCACAGAGATCCGCCTGCCTCTGCCTCCCAAGAGTGCTAAGATCAAAGGCATGCGCCACCCTGACCACCTTCACAAAGGTTGACATAGACCTGGCAAGGTGGCGCTCACCTGTGATCCCAGCACTGGGGAGGCAGAGGCAGGTGGATCTCTGTGAGTTCAAGGCCAGCCTGGTCTACAAAGCGAGTCCAGGACAGCCAAGGCTACACAGAGAAATGCTGTCTCAAAATAACAAAGCAAAACAAAAGAAGTTGAAATATTGGGTAGGTTTTCTAGTCCATCATTATAAAAAGAAAAAAAAAAAAAAACCCCACAATACTCAGTTGAAAAAAAAGTTGTAATAGATAAAGTTAAACAACAGTCTGTTGTCGGAAATGTCTGGGTGGACTCGAGCTTTTTCTGAGCTGGTTCTCAGGTAGCCTAAGGCTGCCGCTGAATTTGCTATGTAGCTGAGCATGGCTTTGGCCTCCCGATCAGACCCTGCCTTACGTCCCAAGCAGTGGGATGAGAGATGGTGCCCTCCCCACCGGTTTCTTTCCACATGGCCTTGCTGCTGCATCCCTGTGTTCTTGGTTCCCTTTGCTTGAGGAAAGATGGAACCCGCCCTTGCCCCCCCCCGGCAATTCAGCTAGATGATGCAGGGAACTGTTACCTGCATGCTTGGCTTATGCTGACATCTGATGTGCTAACATCCCAGCAAACCTTTTGCACTGGGGGAAACTGAGCACAGACAGGCTCAATACCTATGCCCTCCTGCCCAACAACTCCCTGCAGCCCAGAATTACTTGTGGCCTCTTGACCTCTGGCCTAGTGACTTTCCTCAGCCCTGCCAGTCTTGGGAGATCCCCTGGGACAATGTCTGGTCTTCTCTTTGCTTCTTGCATAAAGTTCAAGATAGTCTGGGAACGTCTATTTTTTCCAGTTTTCCATGGGGTCCAAGCTGGTCCCTCATCCTCTGGGCCCGCTGTCTCCCCGGAACTGTTCCTGGCACTATCAGTCAGGCGATGTGTCCCCTCTAAAACCTATCCGGAAGGTCTCACTTGATTCCAGAACCATCCAGTCAGTCCAGTCGCTGGCCACAGGTTACCTCACAGGAAGAAAACGTACAAAGTCAGGGACAGTGAAGAAGGTCTGTCATCCCAGCACTGAGATGGAGGCAGGAAGACTGAGAGATCAAGGTCAGCCCCATTATGCATGATTTAAAGCCAGGCCGGGCTACATGTGAGTCTGAAATTAAAAACAAAACAGCAAAAGTGTAGGGGGATCCCAGGCGAGGCAGCAGACAGCTTTAGTCCTTGCACTTGAGAGGAGCAGATTTCTGTGACTTTCAAGACGACCTGGTGTATGCCACATTCTAGGCCAGCCAAGACTTCATAGTTCTACTAAAGTGTGTGTGTGGCGGGGGGGACAGGAAGAGATTTTACTGGGTTCTGGGTCACCCTTAAATCTTGACAATGCCTTTCTACATATTTGGTATACTGTTAGGACTCAGTCCAGGAAATGCTTACTTTACCACTCAGCTATGCTCCAAACCCTTCCTAGTTCAGAGATGGCACAACTGAAGCTTAGAGACTTCACATTTTCTTTTTCCTAGACAGGGTGCCTCTGTGTAACCTTGGCTGTCCTGGAACTTACTCTGTAGACCGGGCTGGCCTCGAACTCACAGAGATTCCCCCTGCCTCTGTCTCTGGAGTGCTGGGATTAAAGGCATTTGCCATCACACTCAGCTCACCTTTTCTTCTCCCTCAGCCCCAGATGTTTTACAGGTGTAGGGTTGGCTAGCTGTGACAAGCACTCGTTGCTCCTGCAGAAGACATGGTTTCTGCCTCCTGAGGGTTGGGATTGGAGGCATGTGCCACCACCACCTGGGTGTCTGTCCCTGGCATTAGACTCTGGCCAGACCTTTCATGCTGTAGGCTAGAATTCCACTGTGATTAAAGTACTATTCAGCTTGGAGTGGAGCTCAGTGCTTGAGCAGTTTCATGACCGCTGAGTTTCAACTCAAAAAATTCTGTATATATATATATATTTTTTTTTAATTAGGGTTTTATTTTTATTTTATGTACATGTCTGTCTGTGTGAGGGTGTCAGGTGCCCTGCAACTGGAGTCACAGACAGATGTGAGCTGCCATGTGGGTGCTGGGAAATGAGCCCAGGTCCTCTGGAAGAGCAGCCAGTGCTCTGAACTAGAACTCAGCCTTCTCTCCAGCCCCTGTGTAATTATTCTTGTGTCTTGAGTGTGTGCAGTGCCTGAGGACAGAAGAGGGAGTCCTTTGGAAGCCCTGACATTATAGACGGAGTAACCGTAACTGTTGTAACCGGGCTTTCATGCAGTTGGGAGCCACCGCTGGGTGCTGGGAACCTGGGTCCTCGGCAGGAGCACCAAGTGTTCTTAACCACTGAGACACACACCCAGACTCAGACAATTTGTGCTATAAACTTTTCTAATCCTGTATTTTAAAAGAAAAAAAAAATTCCAGCCAGGCCTAGTGGCACATAGCTTTAACCCCAGCACTGGGGAGAGAAAGCAGAGATCTCTGCGAGTTCCAGATCAGCCAGGGCTACGTGCTGAGACTTCAGCTCAAAAACAACGAAAACACTACAGCTCAGAGATTGTTTGCACGTGGCACATCTGTGCCAGAGAATAGACGTGGAGGTTGGAGGACAACTTGTGGGAGTTGGAGTTATTTCTCTCCCTCCACCATAAGCCCTGGGGATGGAACTCAGGTTGCCAGCCTTGGCAGCAAGCCCCTTTACCTACTTGGCCATCTCCAGGCCCCTTCCAAGACTTCAAATGTCTTTAGCCACACTTGGAAAATTTTGCTTTAGAATGTAATAAATGTGTCTGCGGGGTAGGGGCCCTGGACACCCCCACAGAAGCTATTATCTAGGGGGCAGCATAATGGCTCAGCAGGTGAAGGCCCCTACTGCCAAGCCTGACCACCTGGATTCCATTCCAGGATTCACATGGAGGAGGAGAACCAAATCCTGAAGGTGTTTCCTGACCTCTACCGTGCCATGGCAAGCACACACCCTCAGTCACCTCACACAGCACTCAGGGAGGCAGAGGCAGGCAGATCTCTGAGTTCGAGGCCAGCCTCATTTGCAAAGAGTCCAGGAACAGTGAAGGTTATACAGAGACACCCTGTCCCAACTGTGTTTTTAAAAACTGTACAAGGATGGCGTAGGGTCTATGGAACCGCTGTACCATTTTGGTCTGGGGGTGAGCAGAGTACTTGCCTAGCATGCAAAGTCCTGGGATCCTTCCCAGCACCGAATGAACTGGATGGGAAGGATGAAACAGCTCTAGCATCCGAGCACTTAGGGAGGGAGAGGCAGGATGGTCACGCACTCAAGGCCGTTCTCAACTAAAGGCCTTGAATCGGGAGAAAGAAAAAAGGAGCCACCTGCCAGACCCCAAGCCGCACACCCTACAGAGTGGGGCCAGGTCTGGAAATGAGTGAATGAGGAACAGCCAGGCATGGTGGCCCACTCCTGCGATTGCAGAGAGAGGGCGGCCCCAGGAGACCCGGGTAGGAGCTCAGCAGGGAAAGGTGCTTGCTGCCTGTGCTGACACCCCGAGTTTGACTCACTGGGATTTGCGTGGAAAGGAAACTGAACCTCACAAGCTGTCCTCTGATGGGCGCCCCCACCCCCCAAATTCAACACCACGAACCTCAAAACAAAACCAGACAAATGAAGCCAAGCCGTATCAGCCATCATGACGTCGGTGACAGCCTCACTTTAATCAGGGACAAGATCGAAGACCAGTTGCTCAACGGTGGAGGCGGACAACGTATAGGCAGCTCTCAGGTCCCGCACCCACCCCGGCGGAGGGAGAAGACTGAGTCCAGCGGTCTTGGCCAGTCCTCTTACCCCATCCTGGGCTCTCGGAGAAGGAGACGGGGTACAAGCTAGGCTCAGCCCTTGCTCCTCCTCGGTTATGACAATTCCCCACGAACTGTCGGCGTGGCGTGTCCTCCCCTCCGTTCAGGGAATACGGTATGGCTCTTATAATACAGCAGGAAGGGTTGTCTCTCTCTGGAGAAGTCCCCTTCCTCACCTTCCCGGGGGGGTCAACCAGGGGAAGGCAGGTTCGTTCTCCCGTTTTGTCTCAGTAGAATAATTTATATACCAACCTTACAGTATGTACAAAAAAGAAAGAAAGAAAACCCACCCACGAAAGGAAGGAGGCCTGTTCTCATCACCAAGTGGGACAGAAATTACTCTCGTAGTAAACAAAAACCCCGTAAGCATCGCGGGTTGGTGGGTCAGACAGATGGACGGCTGGGGGGGGGGGGGGGGGGGGCTACAGTACGGTACAGAGCCGCAACAGGACAGGCAAGGGATGGTGGACGGCTCCCGGCCCACGGCCCTGTGGCAGACTGGTTCCGTGCGGCAGGGGGGAAATAGGGTCATTCCTGTTTACAAGTCCCCTCACCCCATGGCTTGGAGAAGATGGCCTTTATCTGTATTGCTTAGGGACGACCTGTGGCGGCGGGAGGGGGACAGGCTCAGTCTGGTGGAGGTGGGGGCCGGGAAGGAGAGGGCTGCCCAGGTCGGAGGATGTGGCACACGCCATTATTGCTTCCTCCTAGGGCAGGGAGAGCCTGGGGGAGCGGAGCGACGCTCTGGAAGGGTGGATGAGTGGCTGCTGGGAAGGGAGCGTCCACGCTGGAAGAGGGGACTGTGGGCTGGGCCCGGCCAGGGAGCCAGCCGCGGAGACTTCACCTACGGCCCCAGGAATCTTTAAGGCAGAGACAAGAGGAAGAAGCAGCTGGAAGGGGGATGTGTTTGTGCGCATGGAACAGAGCCCCCTTCCTCCAACGGAGATAATTTAAAGTGCCCCAAAGTGGACCAGGGAAAAGGGAATCGAGACCTTAGACCCCAGGCTGAGGCTGGTGGAGGGGGCCAAACCAAGAGTCCCCGGATCTTAAAGCAACAGCTCCTCTGACCACCCCTTCAGCCACGGGGCCAGGATTGTACAAAAAAAGAGAAAAGAAATAAAAAGAGAAGAGATGGAAGACTTCGTGGGAGCGGACGGAGAGCCAGGGAGAAGGGTCCCGCTATGGCCCAGCCGCTCCGTGGCGCCCTCCCCAACGGGTTCTCCATTCCCTCTGAAGCCCAGAACAGCCCAAAGGCAGGGCCCTGCCTAGGCCCGAGTCTCAGGAGGCAGGAAGATGGCGCCTTGGCCTTGAGGTTGGCAATGATGTGGGTTGAGGTGGGCAAGAGGGGGACCAGGAGTGGGGACGGGCAGTACGTCTACAGTTGCTGTGTTTCATTCTTTTTTTTTTTCTTTTTGTTCTTTTTCTAAAAACGTTACAATTAAAATTCAAAAAATAAAATCCCTTTTTGGGGGGACTTCAGTTCCTGGCTCCCCATACCCCGTATCTCAACAAAAAGGCCCTGTGGGTAAGGGCAGGGGGGAAGGGTTAAAAAAAAGAAAAGAAAAGAGAAAACCCCCCACTTTTCTGTTTTCTTTTTTCTGGGGAGGGCCAGGAGTTGTTGAGGTGGTCTCGGTGAGTGGAGTGCATGGGGAGGAGGGAGGACCTCAGGATGGGGGGATCAGGGATCAGGTGGGGTCTCCACCCGACCCCCACCTGCCTGGAGCCGAGGTGATGGCAGAATTGTCCCCTGATGTCCCAGAGCAGGCGCAACAAGCCCTCGAGGCAGCCAGCTGGTCCCTGGGGGCCTCCACCTCTGCTGCCGTGGAGGGGAGGCCCGAGAGGCCCCAGGCCTCCTCCGAGGGGGACGGGGTCCTCAAGTCAGGCAGAGTGGGGGTTCCAGGGCTGAAGGAGCCCAAAGCTCCCTCAGCCTCTTCACAAGCCCAGACTGCCCCCTGCTTCCAACTGTCTTCTGCATCCACCACCGCAATGCTCTGGTCTTTGACCTTTGATGGTTCCATTGCCTGAGCTGCAGGGTCATCTGGAGCCAGGAAGGTTTCCTCAGCTCTAGGCAATCCTGGAAGCTCCAATGAATCCTCTTCCTCCTCCTCCTCCAAGGTGAGCTCAAACTGGAATTTGTCAGGTGGGGCCGGGTGGTCAAGCCTTCCCGGCTCCTCCTCGTCTGGGGGCGGGGAGGGGCTCTGCCGGATGGCACTGTGATACCAATCCCGGTTGTCTTCCAGTGTGTCCAGGATATCTTGGGCATCGGGGTGGACGAGATCCGCCCATGTCTCCCACAGCGGGTGAACAATGTAGTCGATGAAGCCCACCTAGGGAAGAGGAACGGGGTCTGAGCAAGTGGCTCAGTGGCGCCAGAAGAAGGATCTCTCAACAAAAACAGTCTTTGTTGGAGAGATGGCTCGGTGGTTAAGAGCACTCTCTGCTCTTCCAAAGGACCTGGGTTCAATTCCCAGCACCCACATGGCAGCTCACAACTGTCTGTTAATGATGATTCCAAACACTCTGACACCTTCACACTAATGCATATAAAATAAAACCAAATAAAAACAATCTTCTAGTGCCTGCAAATGCAGCTTAGTGGACTGGCGGGCAGAGCTTTTGCCCAGCATGTACACAGCCCTGAGTCCATCCCAGAGACCTGTAAATCAGGCATGTTATGGCATGTCTACAAGCCAAGCACTTGGGAAGCTGAGGCAGGAAGAATGAAAGTTCAGAGTCATTTTTGAGTTTGAGACCAGCCTGGGGTACACGAGATCCTGGCACCAAAAACTAAACAAACAAACAAACAAACAAACAAAAAGCCAAACCCACCAGCCGAACAAAAATAAAACCAAAATAAAATAAAAACCAAAAATAAAACCCGGCAAACAGTCAGAAGGTGGCGGTGCGCTCCTTTAATGCCAGTACTTAGGAGGCAGGTGGATCTCAGTTCAGGGCCAGCCTGGTCTACAAAGTGAGTGCCAGGACAACCAGAGCTACACAAAGAAACCCTGTCACAGAAAACCAAATACCAACCAAACAAAAAAAAACCCAAACTGGGCTAGAGAGATCAGCCAAGCTATTAGGAAAACTAGCTGTTCTGCTAGGGCACAGGTTCAAGCTCCAACACCCACATGGGGCTCCGTCTGCCTGGAGGGTTCTAGGTCACCTGACACCTCGTCCTGGCCTCCATGGGCAGGAGGAACACAAGTGACGTGCAGGCGCACATTCAGGCAAAACACTCAGACAGGTAGACTGTAGTTACAGAACAGAACAAACCACCAAACGGTCCTGAAGACACCTGAGGTCGATTTCTGGCCTTGGCATATGTGTACACGTGTCACAAGTGTGTACACTCACACACTCCCTCTCTCTCTCTCTCTTTCTTCCCCGTTTTGGTTTTTCAAAACAGGGTTTCTCTGTGTAGCCTTGGCTGTCCTGGACTGGCTTTGTAGACCAGGCTGGCCTTGAACTCACAGAGATCTGCCAGCCTGTGCCTCCCAGAGTGCTGGGATTGTAGGCAAGCGCCACTGTACCTGGTTCCTACACTTCCACTTTCTAATCCAGGAAATTTGCTTCTTAAAACTTGCACAAGATGAGAAAAACAAAACATATATGAGATAAGATGTTAAAAACAGCTGCTGGAGCCAGGTGGTGGTGGCACAGGCCTTCATTCCAGCAGGGAGGCAGAGACGACGGCAGATCTCTGAGTTTGAAACCAGCCTGGTCTACAGAGTGAGTTCCAGGATAGTCAGGGACGGGGACACACACACACACACACACACACACACACACACACACACACACCTGCCTTAAAAAAAAAAAACAACAAACTAAAACAGGACAAAAAACCCAACAACTATGGTGACATATTCCCTTATTCCCATTGGAGGCAGGCAGCTCTCTGTGAGTTCAAGGCCAGCCTGGTCTCCATAGGAAGTTCCAGGATAGGAAGAGCTATAGAAGTGACACCCTGTCTCAAAAAACAAAGCTACAACAACAAAACACCAGGGAAAGGTTGAGTGTGGTAGCTCATGCCTGAAATCCTAGCACTCACTGCCTAGGTAGTCACGGGAGAAGCAGGAGTTCAAGGTTATCCTACCCAGGGAGTTCGAGGCCGGCTCAGAATACAAGGAAACACTGTCTCTAAACAACAAATATTGGATGTTGTACATCCATACATGCCTATAATTGTAGCACTCAGGCCAAGGCAGCAGGATTACCACAAGGTCAAGGTCAGCCCAGTCTACTGTGAGCCCGTCTCAAAATCCAACCATCCAGCTCTCCAGCTCGAAAAAACTTAAGTTCCATATGGGGGTGGGGAAGGAGGGCTTAGCAGTTAAGAACACTAGTTCTTGAGGAGAACTGGGTTCAGCTCCTGGCATCCACATGGGGGCCCACAGCCCTCTGCTACCCAGTTCCAAGGGTGCTGACGCCCTCTTCTGGCCTCTGTAGGAACCAGGCACATCCATGGTGAGCATTATACAGATGGGCAAAAACTCCAACGCGTTATAAAGAGCTCCATACACACCAACTTACGAATTTTTATTTATTTGAGACAGTCTCACTGTGTAGCCATGGCTGGCCACGTACTCCCAGAGATCTTGCCTGCTGCTGCCTCTTATTTGTTTGCTTTTTTGAGGTAGGGTTTCTTTTCATAGCCTTGGCTACCCTGGAACTTGCTCTGTTGACCAGGCTGGCCTCCAACTTAACTCAGAGATCTGCCTCCCTCTGGGTCCCCAATGCTGGGATTAAAGGTGTGTTCTACCATCACCACCCAACTTATATAATTTTAATTTTATGTGTATGGATGTTCTGCCTGCATGTATGTATACCACGTGGGTGCCTGATGCCTCCCTGGGTGTCCCCGGAGGACAGACAGACAAGGGAGCAGGACTCCTGGAACTAGACTTAGGCCGTTGTGAGGTGCCATGTGGATGCTGGGAATTGAACCTGGGTGCTCTGGAAGAGCAGCCCCGTCCCTGCTTCTGGAGTGTTGGCATTAAAGGTGTTCACCTGCTTTTAATCCCAGTACTAGGAGCTGAGGCAGGTAGATTTCTGAGTTCAAGGCCAACCTGACCTACCCAGTAAGCTCCAGGCTAGCCAAGGATACATGGAGAAACCAAGTCTAAAAATTAAAAAATAAAGAACCCCAAAACATTTTTATTAAATTTTAATTAATTGCTGGGTGGTGGTGGCACACGCCTTTAGTTCCATCACCACTCGGGAGGCAGAGGCAAGTGGATCTCTGAGTTCGAGGCCAGCCTGGTCTACAGAGAGAGAGAGTTCCAGGACAGCCAGGGCTACACAGAGAAACCCTGTCTCAAATATTTTTTTTTAATTTATTTTGGGGGACACACGAGCCTTGGCATGGGTGTGAATGTCAAGAGGCCAATCTTGTGGAATCATTTCTCTTTTTGTGTGTCAAGCGGCTTTGTCTGCTAAGCCATCTCCCTGACTCCTAGACAGGATCTTGTTGCCCAAGCTTTCCCCAAATGTTTGGGCTGGAACATACCTCCTGCTTCAGTATGAACCCAGTGTAAATGTAAGTACATACCGTGAGGGCTAAAGTTGTGTTTTAATTTTAAATTACAGTGCTTAAGAGACCTATAAAACAAGAACTCCTCTAATTTGTAAGCCACAGTTGCCCCAGGACAGGTGACTTTCTGGGGGGCTGGGGGCTGCTGTTCACGAAAGATAACAAGCTATGCGTCTTTACTTCTGTAAGCATGGCTGCCCAGCTGCCCGGCTGCCCGGCTGTCCGGCTGGACTTGATCTCGTGGGGGTGGGAGGTGCACAGGCTGGCAGTACCTCAGGATGTGTGCCCTGACTGGATGAAGGCAGGAAGGAAGCAGCCTTATGCGTTTTGCCTTATTTATAAGCCTCGACTAATGTAATTTGGTGCCATACTCCGGGAATCCTAGGTATGATCGTGTCCACTGGCCTGGCCAGTATTTAATAAGACTTTCTCCAAATTTGGCTCACACATTGTGATAGTGGTCTTATTCTTGCCCAGCAGGATTAACAATACAACTTAAAACAAACAAACAAACAAATACACAAACAAACAGCTAACAGGGGAACTGGGGCTGTAGTTCAGTAGGGAGAGCATGCTTGCCTAGCATGCATGAAGCCTTGGGCTTTATTCCCAGCACTACATAACCCGGTGACCGCCTGTGATCTCAGTACTTAAGAGGTAGGGCAGGAAGATCAGAGATTCAAATTTATCCTTGGCTATAGCAAGTTTAAGGCTCAAATGGAAAACAAAAACCCCACCCCCAACACACAAAGCACTGCTCTTAAAACTGCCTAGCGTTTCGGCACATTGATGGTATGGTCGGTGCAAGAGAGACAGAGATCTGTGCACATGCCTTCAAAGCAAGATGGCACAGACGGTCACGCTACTGAAGGGTAAACAGCCTCCACCTCCCAGAGACAAAACCAACGAGCTTGTCATCCTGGGTCAAGCCATCCCTGCAGCTCTGGCCCTGAGGCCCTGCACCTGTACCTGAGACTTCTCCACAGAGGCGGTGTGCTTGTCACACATGGGGCTAATCTCCATTCCACGTTCCCGCTCCCGGTCGCCCTGCTGGAAGAACTCCGCCATGATGCGGTCGGTCCACTGTCGGTACAGCTCCAGGGGCTTGGTAGGGTTGCTGAGGTCTGCGCAGTGCACCATGTTCCTGAGGACCTGGGGAGTGCAGGGAGGGGTCTTTAGAGGCCAGGCTGGCTTGCAGTCTCTGGGGCCTCTGGCTGTCTTCTCTGTGTGTCACTCTTCCTGTGTGTGTTTTAAGAAGACAAGGTCTCTTATAGCCCAGATTGGCCTTGAACTTCCTATGCAGCTAAGGATGACCTCGAACTTGGGTCCTGTCCCCATCTTCTAAGCACTGGGGTTTCAGGTACACAACATCACATTCAGATTTAGTTAGTGTTTTTATTCTGCTTTTTAAAAAGGGTTTGCAAAATGAGTTCCAGATGGTTTCAGACTTGTGGTCATCCTCCTGTCTCTGCTTTTGGAATGTTGGGATTATAGGCACTCATTAGGGCTAAGGTTTTCTTAACTGCCACCGTATGTGTGTGTTGGGCAGCTGAAATGGAGTGAAGGAGAAAGTAGAGGTGAGAAGTGTGTGCGAGGGAAATGGAGAGAGGTGAGAGAAGGGTGAGCAGGATGGGGTATGTGGTGAGAGAAGCTGAAGAGGGTAGGTCAGGGGAGAGGGTTGGGGAGAGATGAGAGGGGTAGAGAAAGAGAGGCAAAAGGTAATGTGACAAGGGAGGAGAGGAGGGACGTGGGTTGGAAAAAAAAGATGGGAGAGGCAGAGAGTAAGAAAGAGGAAGAGCCAGGCACAATGGCGCACACCTGTGATGCCAGCACTCTGGGAGGCAGAGCAGGCGGATCTCTGTGAGCTCAAGCCCAGCCTGGTCTACAAAGTGAGTCCAGGGCAGCCAAGGCTACACAGAGAAACCCTGTCTCAAAAAGAAAGAAACAAACAAAAAACAAAAGCTGAAAACAAAACAAAAACACAAACAAGGGAGAGGGCAGCAGGGAGCCATTCAGGAGATGGGGTCTGAGGGCAGAGCTGGGATCTGGGGTCTAGGGCACCTGGATACGGTCGGAGTAGTTGTCCAGCAAGAGAACTCCGGAGCTGGTCACTTTCTTTGTCTCCACCATAGTCTTCAGGTCAGCCAGGAGGGTCATGTGTTTGGACATGTCTGTGGCCAGCACCTGAAGGGTATATCAAGTCAGGTGGCGAAAGCTTGCCCACTCTTGCACCGTCACCCACCCTGGCCCTGGAATTATTTTCCCTCTGCAGACCAGGGGGGGTCTTATGGCCCACCTCGCCCCCTAGGCCCCGCCCACAGCTCTGGCCCCGCCCACCATGTCGATGACCATCTTGCGCAGGCTCTGTCGCTGGCGCTTGGTGAGGTTCTGGAAAATGTCGCAGTTGTCTTCTTGCAGCAGCTTGAAGCCCACAGCCAGGTGGTGGTTCTCAAGCACAGACTCATCGTTGTACATCAACGCCAGCTCCGAATCTGCGGCGGGACTGAGGTCAGGGGAGGCGACCCTGGCTACCATGCCCCGCCCGGTGCGGGGCCCGGCCTCCAACCGGCTCTACCCTCAGTCTGACCAGCCCCAGCCCCCGCCACACCGGTCCGGCAGCGTAGCACCACAGGCCCCGCCCTCAGGCTGGCTTCGCTCAGCCTTAGCTGTTCCTGTGCCACCGCATCTCCTCTGGCGGGCCTCATTCCTAGCCCAGCTGCCCCAGCCCATCCTCACAAGCCCCGCCCTCATCTGGCGGGCTCCACCCCTAGTTCAATCGGTTCAATTTCAGGGCCCGAAGCCAAGCCCTCAGGCAGTTTGGTTCCCACCAGTGTGTTAAGCCCCAAAGCTAGCCTTGCTAGCCACTCTCCTAGCCCGGGGGGGGGGGGGGGGTCTAGCCTCAACAGCACAACTGGCTCCACCTTCAATCCCGACCAAGCCCAGCTGGACTCCAGCTGTCCAGCTCCATTCTCTCAGCCCAGTCTGGTGGAGCAGCTCCACTTCCAGCCAGCCAGCCACATCCTGAGCCTGTCTATCTCCGCCCTGAAAAGCCACTCACTGGTGTTGATTAGGAACTGGTTGGAGACGCCAGGGTGGTCCACATCGTGGATGGCAGCAGCAAAGAGGGCAGCAAGAATCTCCAGGTCTGTGAACACGGCCTGGGGGGGAGGGGCAAGGAGAAGAGGTGAGGGAGAGGCAGGGACTGCTACGAAGGGGATAACACAGACGGAGAGGAGGAAGACGATGGGACTGCAGAAAGAGTGTCTGAACCAGTAAAGGGCCTGCTGTGCAAGCACGAGGACCCGAGTGGGCTTCAAACCTGGACCATACATAAAAAAGGTGTTGTTTCAGCACTCACCAGGCAGAGGCAGGTGGGTCGGTATGATCCCCCAGCCTCAGACACCAGCCTGGTCTACATAGTGAATTCCAGGTCAGATAGGACCACATAGTGAGACCAGCTCAAAACACAAAGGAGATGGCTCAGTGTAAGGCACGTGTCATGTAAGTGTGAGGACATGAGTGTGAATCACAGAACCCAGGTAAAAGACCATAGTGTAATCTGCAATCCCAACGTCCCTACAGTGCGATGGAGAGAGAGAGAGAGAGAGAGAGAGAGAGAGAGAGGAGATGCCCCAGGAGCTTTTCAGTCAGTCAGCCTGGCATATGCAGCAACAAATGAGATCCTGTCTGCAAACAAGGTAAAAGGAAAGAATGGACACATAGGCGTGTCTTCTGCCCTCCACACAGGCCCCGTGGCTCATGCTGGCATGCCATAGCCCCATCACACATACACACTAATAAGACAAAATGGACACTAGCTAGCTGACCGGGTAAAGGAGGCTGACACCAAGCCTGGCGACCAGAGTCAGATTTCTGGACTTGGTGGTAAAAAGACAGACATGACTTCTGAAAGCTGTCTCCTGACCTCTTACACGCCCACAAAAGATAAAACAGCAGCAACCAATGACACGACTAGGGAGAGAAACGGGGTAGAGACAAGATGGGAAGGGTACACGGTAGACAGGCCAGCCCAGCAGGCGGACGGTGACCTGGAGGTGGCAGGCACTCACGTCCAGGGCGGGCGTGGCCAGCAGCACGTGAATGGACTGCAGCACATCAGCGGCGTGCAGGCTGTTGTGGTAGGCCACGTCAGCGTGGTAGTTGTCCTCCAGGGTCAGCACGTAAGTCACCATCGTGTCCACAGGGATGCGGAATTTCTTCAGCAGGTCCCGCTCCTGACGGCCAACAGGGGGAGGGCGGTGACCCCTGCTGGCCCCTGGCACCCTGCCCCCACCCCCGGGGGGCCCAGCTAGTGCCCTGTTTTCCCCATCACCTGGAAGATCGTATACATGATACAGCTGAGCGAGCGGCCTCCGGCGTACTGCGACACGTTAAAGATGTTCAGGCCCCATTTGCTCAAGTTCTCCAGTTCCTGGCAGTGATGGAGGGGAGAGGTCAGGAGCCTTGCGTGGCCCAGGAACATGAAAGCCACTTCCTCGTTACTGCTCACAAAATGTGTTCAAATTCGTCGACTCATTTTTTTTTTAACTTAAAAAAAAAGATTTATATATGTGTCTGAGTGCTCTCTTTGCAGGTACGCCTGGCATGGTAGAGGAGGGCGTCAGATCACATTGTAGATGGCACTGTGGATCACATTATGAACCACCAATCGTTCCTGGGAACTGAACTCAGGGCCTCTGGAAGACCAGCCAGAGCTCTTAACTGCTGGGCCATCTCTCCAACACTCCCCCAGCTCCCCAGAACTGGGTTTCTCTGTGTATTCCTGGCTGTCCTGGAACTCACTTTGTAGACCAGGATGGCCTCTAACTCACAGAGATATGCCTGCCTTGCATCCTGAGTGCTGGGATCACAGGCATGCATCCCAGATTCATGGACTTTAAGAGAGCTACTGTGTGTGTGTGTGTGTGTGTGTGTGTGTGTGTGTGTGTGTGCAAGTGTACATGTCCATGGAGCCCAGAGACAACTTTGGATGTCTTCCTCAAATCATTCTTCTTTTCAAAATTCTTAAAAAAACAACAAATATTAGAAATGTTTATGTGTATCTGTGTATGTCCCTTGTGTGTAAGGTGCCTGCGGAGGCCAGAAGATGTGTTCTCTCCCTGGAGCTGGAATTCCCGCCACCCCCACTGTGAAAGCTGGGAACTGAACTGGAGACCTGTGTAGGAGCAGCAAGTACTCTTAATGGCCGAGGCTCCTCATGTGTGTGGGTGACCTCCTCCTCAGGTTTTGACAGAGGCTCTGGGTGAGCCAGGAGCTCACAGGTTCGGCTCTGCTGGCTGTGCAGGGAGCCCCAGGGACTGTCCTGTCCTCACTGACCCAGCCCCGAGATAAGGGGTGTACACGGGAACCTGGTTTTGTGTGTGGGCAATGGTCACCTTAAACACTGAGCTGTTGCCACAGTCCCACCCCATCTTTCTTTGAGGCAGGGTCTCCTGTCATCCATGCTGGCCTTGAACTTACTCTGTAGTGGAGGATGACCCTGAACGCTTGATCCTCCTGCTTCTACTTCCCTGGGGCTAGGCTCACAGGCAGGTGCCACCACACTTGGTACATGTGGTGCTGGGAGGGGCCTCTGGGACCTTCAGCGTCGTCGCCAGGTGAGTGCTCTGCCAACCGAGCCACATGCCCAGCCCTCGGCGGCAGTGTCTCAGGCCACCGTCTACCCAGGGCCTGAGCCCAGCCGGTGAACGGCTTCTAATGCCCTTTTGCTCACAAGCTGGGAACCAAGCCAGGCTGACCCCTGACCTAGGTCAGACTTTAAGCTAACCTGCTCGTGAGACCTCAGCTGTGTTGGGGTTGGGGAAGGAACACCGGTCTCCTCGAAATACATTACGCACCACGCCCTCAGTTAATAATGCCAAAAGGTGAGCGTACCAGGGCTGCTCAGTGTGTGTTCGAATGTATGGCTGTCTAAATCCGGGTCCCTACTGAATCACGCATGGAGTCATTCAGTGTCCATCCTTTCCTTCCACCCCACAACAGCTCAGACTCTGCGTCCTTGGAATCTGGGTTAGATGAGCCCCAGAGCTCCGGCCCTTTGCTGGTGCCTCCCAGACAACACTGCCCCTGCGGAGCACCCCCCCCTTCCCGACACCTACTTGTGCTAAGAGGTCCTCTTGATCTGTCTTGACTCCGAATCGTGGGATGCTGGTGTTCAAGCTTCCGGTGTGCACCAGCTTTTTCTTCAACCCTGTGATCTGAGACATTGGCGGGGGCTGCTGGGAGGCTCTCTGTCTGAGTGTGGGTGACAGGATCTCCACCTCATTCTGCTTGTCTGTAGAGATGGAGGGCAGCGTGAGACACCCTTTCACGGAGGCTCCCCCACGCTCCTTGGTGTCCCCGACACCCCTGGTGGTGTCCCGAGGTGCCTCACTTGATATGGGGCCACCCTTCTGGGGGGAATGCCCGTCTCTTTTCTGAGGCTGGAATGGGAGTCTTAGGGATGGTCCTGGACTATGGAGTACCCTCAGATGGGTGCCCAGTTTGGGCCACAACATGGTATGAGACATGAGGAGGTGGGATGGAGACCCCAGAGTGAGCTGCCGCCCACGCTGGACAGCCAGGAGGCCTTCCTGGCCAGGGAAGACACCCCTGTGATGGCCCAGCATGGTGGTAGGAGGGGGGACTGTTGATAGGTGGGAGGGAAGGGGGGCCTCTGGGTCCATGACTCCCCCTCCCCTCGACCTGGGGACCAGCCCCAAGACTGGAGACCGTTTCCTTAAGCTTTCAAAGGCTTCTGAGAGCCAGGGAAGGATCATCCCATTATGACCTTGAGGACCTAATTTGCATACACCCCCCAACTGGCCGCATCCTCAGAATTCTGAGACATACCATACCTTCACAATTGGAGGGAGGATCAAAACTCTGACTCTCCCAATCTTGAAACATTTTTGACACAAGGTCTCATGAAGCCCAGGCCGGCCTGGTACTTAAAATTCTCCTGCATCAGACTTTTGAGTCCTGGGATTTTACAGGTGTGTTTCACCATCCCAACTTTCTTAAAAGTTACCAAGGCATGGTGGCTGGTGCATGCCTTTAATCCCAGTACTTGGGAGGCAGAGGCACTTGGATCTCTGAGCTCAAGGCCTGGTCTACAGAGTGAGTTCCAGGACAGCCAGGGCTACACAGAGAAACCCTGTCTCCAGAAGAAAAGAAATTATGTGTATGTACATACATGTATGAGTATGCAGGTACCCTGGGAGGCCAGAAGAGAGCATCAGAGCCCATGAAACTGGAGTGATGGCAGGTAACTGTGAGCCGCTTGGTGTGTGTGCTGTGAACTCAGTCTGAGCCCTCTGCAAGGCAGTACTCCTAACCACTGGGCCATCTCTTTGGAGCACCCTACATTTTTCTTTTCTTTTTTTCTTTATAATTTATTTTTATCTTATATGCATTGGTGTTTTGACTGCATGTGTCTGTGTGAAGAGTCGGATCCCCTGAAACTGGAGTTATGAGCTGCCATGTGGGTGCTGGGAATTGAACCCAGGTCCTCTGGAAGAGCATCCAGCGCTCTTAACTCCTGAGCCATCTCTCGAGCCTCTACTTTTTTTCTTTTATCGACTCTTTTTTCCCCTTGGGTTTTTGAGACAGTTTCTTTTTGTGTAGCCTTGGCTGTCCTGGAACTCAATCTGTGACCACCAAGCTGGCCTTAAACTCAAGAGCTGATCTGCCTCTGCCTCAGGAGTGCTGGGATTAAAGGAACCTCGCAGCCATGTCTGGTCTTTTATTGTTATTGTTCTATTTTGTTTTGTTGTTGTTGTTTTTTTTTTTTCAAGGCAGGGAACCACCGTGGCTGGCTGGAGTCCCCGACATCCAGTTGTCTCCCGAGTGGCATGAGGACTGGGCATGTGCCACCACACGGGCTCTTATATGAATTTTTAAAAAGAATTTGTGTGTATGTATGTTCACAGGAGGGCATGTGGGTGCCACAGCACAGAGGTAGAAGTCAGAGGGCAATCTTGGCTATCAATTTTCCACTCCCATCCTTGTGCCTGCTTGTTTGTTTTTGAGACAGGGTCTGCCTGTATATTCCTGGCTGGCCTGAAACTTGCTTTATAGACCACGCTGCCCTTAAACACGCAGAGATCTTCCTGCCTCTGCTCCTGACCACCAAGATTAAAGGCTGTGTGTCAGAGATGTTGTATATTTCTTCTTCAGACAGCCGCTCACTGTGTAGCCCAGGTTGTCCTGAGCACTAGGATTATAGGTGTGTGTATAGGTGTGTGTGTGTGTGTGTGTATGTACCATCACACCCTGCTCTGCCCTACTGTACGTGTGTGTATATATACGTGTGTGTGTGTGTTTGGTTTGGTTTGAGACAGGGTCCTCTTTTAGCCCAGATGCTTTCCAGTCAGCTACACAGCAAACCCCGACTTTGAACTTCTTCCTCGGCTTCTCCAGAGTGCTGGGATGACAGGCCTGCACCAGCAGGCTCTACACTGTCCTGGTGAAAGAGCCCAGGGCTTCGTGCATGCCAACCCCGTGCTCTACCTTTCTGGGCCCTGCTTGGAAGCTTTTCAAAGTTTAAGAATTCTATTTAAGCATGACACGGTGCTGCACACCTGTAATCCCAGCACCCAGGGAGGCAGAGGCAGGCAGATCTCTGTGAGCTCAAAACCATCCCGGTCTACAAAGTGAGTTGAGAACAGGCAAGGCCACACAGAGAAACCCTGACTCATAAAAAACGAAAAACAGCAGCAACAGCAACAATTCTATTCGAGCCTAGTCTACATCTACTTCCAGGCCAGCCAGAGCTACACAGCGAAACCTGGTTCAACAAGTAAATAGATAATCAAAAATAAATGAAAATTCTATTCGATTTCCACGGAGATTTTGATTTTATATTAGTGTTTATGCGCATGTGTGCACCTGTGCATGCAGGCCACAGGTCAGACTCCAGTGTGGTTGCTCCAACACTTGTCCACCTTGGCTTCTTTTTTCCTTTTGTCGTGGAACTTGCTTTGCAGACCAGGATGACCTTAAATTTACAGAGCTCCTCTTGCCTTCCAGTGCTAGGACCAAAGGCGTGCGCCCCGATTGCCAGCTCTACCTTGCTTAGGGCCATGTCTCATTGAACCTGGGCCTCATAGATTTGACTACATTGCCTGGCCAATGTCTTCTACTCACTGCTTGGACTATAAGTGCTTGGCCGGGGCACCTGGCCTTTCCCGTGGGTGCTATCGATCCGAACTCAAGTCCTCACACTTATTTCTCCCCAGCCTGAGATGTTTATAAATAGGGGCTCCACAGAAATTGGATGGCACACAAAGTCTGAGAGGGGAATCATGAATGAGGAGTTCTTGACCACGGTGACCCTTGACCCAATGCCCCACCTTCAAGTCCCCCTTGCTGCCTTGCACTCACCCATGAATGTTGTGGAAATGTACTCTGAGACCTGGTTTCCTGACCTGCTCATTTCCGACAGGTGTGTGAGTTCACGGTTCAGCATCCTCTTGAACTGAGGAGAAGGAGCCAGAAAAGAACGGGTGATGGGGGACCATAGTGGGGTGCATGGGGCATGCACATGTGGGAGTCCTTCCCAGCAAGTTCCTGGAGGCCCCACACATTCTCCACTCAGAGGCTCCAACGAGGCTGCTGCAGGGGTGCAGTTGGCGTTTCCAGTCCTGATGGCTCGGGGAGGAGGGCTCCCCTAACTTGGAAGGAGGGGGTTCCTAGTTGAAGAAAACGACCCCCCTCCCACAGAGCAGTTCGAGGAGCACCTGTAGAAGGGAGGGGCTCCTGCTGACCACAGAGCCAATAGCACACCAGGAGACTCCCGTCGCCATGGTGATGGGAGTCTCCTTAGCAACTCCCCCTCCAACCAGCTGCTGAGTCCAGGAAAGGGGGGCAAGCCCGAGGCCCCTTAACCCTTGCCTTCCCAGAGCTACCCCCACAGGCCTAGGTGTTGCCAAACATGACCTCAATTCAGGGGTGGCGGCTGAAGGGGAGGAGCGGGGGTCTGCTCCGCAGGCCCAGCCTGGTCAGGAAGGTTCCTTCCATGTTTCCTAGCACCCAAGCTCTGGGAGAGGAGGAGAGGGTTTGGCTAGACATTCCAGTTCCATCACCTGGGGAGGGGGTTCCCATCAAAGACCCCTCTCCTCCATTCTTGGTGAGGTAGATGATGTACAATGGGTGTAGTCTGTTCCTCACATGGGCTTGGGGGTGCTCTCCTGGCCCCCCGTGTCCCTTCACACGGGCATCTTCTGTGACATTGGGCTTGCAGCAGAAAGGGCATTTGCTCCCCACCCCCAGCACCCCAGAGCAGGGACATACTCTTGTATAGATAGGCAAGGCAGGGGGCACAAGACAGAAGGGGTGACCCACACTGAAGACAGGTGGCGTGGTCACTCTTCTCAGTGCTACCCGGAGACCCTGCACACACACACACACACACACACACACACACACACACTCTCACACAAATGCACAGAATCCCAAATTGTCCTCAGTCTATTGTCACACAGCTCAGATGCACTAACCAAAAGGTACACACCCCAATATGTCAGTCATTGACATTTGGGGTCACCCCCCAAAACATCAAGTAGCATTGCATTTAACAAATACACCCCAACACACAACTTGTGGTCCGTTCTAGGAGCAGGCAAGACACCCAGCTATGGCAGGGACATGCACGTCCAGGTACAGGTCAGTCACACCCAGCTAGAAAGACACCTTTCCCAGTAAGACTCCCGAACGCACACTCACACTGGACACAAACACCGCCATCCACGCCCAGCCCAGGGTCACACGGAGGCCACAAAGCATGTTATCTGGCCTAACTATACATAGACACAGCTGCAGCCAAGCGCCCACCCCGTGAGGTCAGAGGTCCCCGAGGATGATGCCCCTCCCCCGCCCTGCACACCCCTACCTGGTCCCACCAGCCCACCAGCCAGGGCTTGGAGCAGGTCTCGCAGAAGAAGTCAACCAGAGGCATGATGGAAACTTAGCTGTGGCCGGCACAGATGAGAGAGGTTTGGCCAGTCCCTGGGTCAGTGGTTCCTGGGGGCTGGGGGTAGTGGAGGGCGGGGGGGGGGGGGGGGCTGGGCAGAGAGGGACAATGTCCAGAGGGAGCCGCGGAGGGGTCTGGGCCAGCCCAGCAGGACCGGGGCCCCCTTCCCCTCCGCGCTCCCAGCGGCAGCCCTGGTTACATCGTCTGCCGGCCCCTGGTCCTGACGGGGCCCTCTGCAGCAGAGGCGGGAGGCTGCGGGGGACCTGTGCCCATGGGGACGGGCAGGGCGAGTGTCCTGGGGAGGAAACTGTGCTCAGGAGGCTTGGGGCTCCGTGTGTGCACTGTTGTGTGTGCGCGCTCACTGCGGTACTGGAGGCTGCACTTGAAGTCAGGTGGTGCGGGGGG